ATCCAGAAGAGAAATTTCTGAATCACTTCTTTCTAAGTCAATGATGTTACTGAAGAAGCCATATATACCTGTAGGCAATACAGTCATATACATAAAATAAAGAAAATATTAAAAAATAAAAGAAACCACTTAAATGTTCTTTCAAACCTTAGTGAGTTTATTCTAAAGATCTTCATTGCTTCTTGGCGCCTCCTGGCCACCTGTGTCAGAAGGCTGAGTTCTGTGACCTTCCCGTACCTTCCTGTCCTCCCTCCTGTCTCATCTTTCCCTTTCCCTTTCATTTTCCTCCCATTTCCTCTCATTCCTTTCCCCTCTTTCATCTTTCCTTCCCCTCCCCTCTCATCCCCTTTCATTTCCCTTCCTCTTCGTCTCCCTTCCCTTCCTTTTCCTGTGACACTGGGGATGGAACCCAGGTCCTCATACATGTTGGGCAAATACACTATCATTGATCTTCAGCCCTACCCCTTTTAACATTTTGAGACAGCATCTTGTCATACAGGTGGGCCTTGAAGCTCATTCTATAGCACAGACAGATACTTTGCCTCATCCTTCAAGTAGCTGAGATCACAGGCCTGTGCCATCAGTGGTGGACATATACTATATATATTTAAAATTTAAAAATTGGATTGAGAGACATTTTGAGCAGATTTTTTTTTTGAGGCAGAGTCTCTGTAGTTCCAGCTGACTGGAACTCATTATGTAGACCAGGCTGGCCTCAATCTCACAGAGATCTGCTTGCTTCTGCCTCCAGAATGCTGGGACTAAAGGTGTGTGCCACCTTGCCAGGCTTTAGAATACTCCTTAACAACTATCTGTCTTTGTTGTATTATGGTCCCAAGCTATGATAAGCTTATGGAGATTAGCATAAATATGATATGCTTCCTGCTTCTTCTTGGTCTGAGGCACAGACCTCACAGTCTTTTTCTCCAGCCAACAGAGACCCTTTCCAGCTGACCAGTCCAGACCAATTTAGATAAAACCAAGGCAGACTTGGACACATCTCATTCAGTTTGGAGCTGTGGTCTATGGGCTCTCTGGTCTTATGAAGAGCTTATCATAAGCTCTTGCTCAGTTAATTAAATGTTACGGTTTAACGTTTTATTCACTTAAAGCAATGGCATCTCTTTTCTGAGGAACATTAGAACAGTATGATGCCTGTCTTTTTCTTTTTACAGGCTGTGCAGATCCTGAGTGGAGTGTTGATTCTGGCTCTGGGTGTTTTTCTGGCTTGCTTGCAGTACTTGGTCCACCTCTTCAGACACTTCTTCTTTTTTACATTCTACACAGGCTACCCACTATGGGGAGCTGTGTTTGTGAGTATTCCTGTTCCCCTGGCCACAGACCATTTCTTACCTAGCACTGCTAAGTGTATTTCATTATGAAAGTATTTGAGAGTTATTTGAAGGTTACATGTTGTGGTTTTGATTTATATTTTCTGACAAAAGCAAGAAAAAGATCAATTTCTTTCTAATTAAAAGAAACCATTTGAGGGTCTGGACAGATGGCTCAGTGGTTAAGAGCACTGACTGCTCTTGCAGAGGACCTGGGTTCAATTCTTAGCACCCACAATGGCAGCTAACAATAGTCCCTAACTCTAGTTCCATGGGATTCAACGACCTCTTCTGACCTCTGTGGGCATTGCATGACACAGGTACACTTATATACCTGCAGGCAATACACTCATATACAGAAAATAAAGAAAATATTTTAAAAAAAACCACTTAATATAATTTTTAGTTCTATTTTCCTACACAAGTCATGATTTTATATTTTTTAATGACTGAATACAGTTCCACTGTGTATATATGCCACATTTTCTTTATTCATTCATTTGTTAATGACATGGAGGCTGGTTCCATCCTCTAGCTAGTCTGAGTGGACAGGAATGAACATCGGTATGCAAATATCTCTGTGGTAGGATTTAGAGCTCTTGGGTGTATGTACCCAGGAACTCCATGGCTTGGAGTAACCTAGAAAGAAAAAAACTATGTTTTTTCTCATAGGAAAATCCTAGATTTTAATTTTATATATGTGTCTAAATATATGTGTAGGTGTGGGCACAGGTCATGAATCTGGAATGGGGCCTAGGAGAGGGGAAGAACTAGTCTTACAGGAGTGGGATGGGAAAAAATTGGACAACAGCACCTCTTTGTTATCCGAAGCAGAGTTCAAGCCCTGTATTGATCGAGAATTCAATATTGAATTTTATGTAACAATCCTTTATTGTCCAATTAAAAAAATATTTATTTTTTAAATTTTATTTTATATGTATGAGTGTATTGCCTGCATGTATGTGAGTACACCCGTATCATGCAATGCCACGGAAGTCAGAAGAG